AATTTCTTCCTTCATGGCATCTGTCCATTCAGGTACTGAAAGAGCTTCTGCCACATTCTTGGGGATAGGGACACTGTCAATAGAGGTAAGAAAAGCACGAAAAGAGGGTGAAATGTTCTCATAGGAAACAAAGTTGGAAATGGGGTGTTTAGTGGTGCACAATCTAACAACTTTCTTGTAAGCAATAGGGAGGTCAAGGTCATTAGCAGCAGAGGTATCAATTTCAATAGAATCAGGAACATCATTGGGAGCCAAGTTACCTAAGTGGATATGATCCTCCCCTGAGGAGTTTGATGGCACTGGAGGTACAGCTTCTAGATTCTCCACAGCTCTTGAATTTGGTTGGCCTTTGCGACGACGGAAAAAGACACGAAAGGGCGGAGGATCAGAAAGAGGAGGGAGCTGAACCAGTTTCTCCTCATGCCTACACTCCCCCTGAGGAGAAACAGGAAAGAAAGGCTCATCCTCAAAGAAAGAAACATCCATGGAGACATAGAATTTCCCAGAAACAGGATCAAAACAACGGTATCCCTTTTGAGTGATGGAGTACCCAAGGAATATGCAAGGAATAGCACGAGAATCCAATTTACCACGAGTGAGATAGATTTTGGACAAAGCACCGACAACCAAATACACGAGAGGAATGGGAAGAAGGGGGGCCTTAGGAAAGAGAAGCTGATGTGGGGCTTTGTACTCTAACCAACGAGAGGGCATACAGTTAATGAGGTAGGTAGAACAAAGAACAGCCTCAAGCCAAAAACGTTTGGGACATTCATTTGGAGTAGTAAACCCCGAGTCACTTCAAGTAGATGTCGGTTCTTTCGTTCAGCCACACCATTTTGTTGTGGTGCTCGGGCACAAGAGCTATGGTCAAGTGAACCACGCGAAGCAAAGAACTCCGTGAGATCACTATGAAAAAACTCTTTCGCATTGTCTGACTGAAAAATTTGGATTTCAGTTTGAAATTGAGTGAAGACCATCCGCTGAAAATCTTGGATAATTTTTGGTACTTCCTCCCTGGTTCGCATAGGATATACCCAAGTATATCTAGAWTAATCATCAATGAGGGTAATAAAATACTTGTAACCACTCTCAGATGGTAAAGTAATAGGGCCCCATGCATCAGAATGAACAATGTTAAAAGGAAATTCAGATTTTCTATTTTTTTGAAGAAAATGAGTTCTACAATGTTTAATTAACTGACACGTTTGACAAGAGAAATCTGAAACAGACATTGACTTAAACAGTTCTGGAAACACAACTTTTAAAGACTCAAAAGACAAATGACCAAGGCGACAATGCCATAAATAAACTTGACTCTTATAGGACTGACTCATAGACTATGTAACATGAAGACCAGCCTTATTCTCCAACATGTAAAGTCCATCAACCATATGTCCCCTACCAATCGTCCTCCCCGAGGCCAGATCCTGAATCACACAATGAGAAGGGAGAAAGGTCACTGAGCAGTTTAAGGAATTAATAACACCACTAACAGAGAACAAATTAATGGGAAATTTTGGAACATGTAGGACATCAGAGTGGGTAAGGCCAAGGGGAAGAGAGATTGTTCCTTGACCAGCTATGGAAGTGTATGATCCATCAGCTAGTCTCACCTTGTCTCTTCTAGAAATTACAACTTAAAGAATGAAGAAATTACAAAAGTACCCTTGCGGTACCAAACATATATACAACAACATCTGTCAACAACTAGAGTTCGACATCTCTTTCTTATAGACAAACTGATGCTTATGACGAGGCATCAGTTTGAGGGGGTGTGGAGACTCTATAGCTTGATGTACCTTATTAGTATAGTCCCTGTTGTATATTACGTTTACATCTTATTCTTCTTTTCTCTTTCAGCCTTGTATGGGCATTCTGATGGGATGAGAGATCCATCGTATGGACGCCCAAATCTTGCGGAATAAAGGGGCGAATTTCAAAAATTTTTCTGTCCCTTTCAACC